AGCTTTGGTTTCAACCCTCGAGGCTCTCTCCCCCCGGGCACAGGGTCTGTTTACAGCGCTGCGGGCAGCTTTCTGGATACCCCAGTGGACAAGCTACTCGAAGAGCTCAACAGTGACAGTCTATCTTCCGGGTTCGAGAATATTGCCCTCCGCGAATCGACATCTGGACTCCCGGAAGAACTTCTATTGACCAAAGTTGAAAGTTTCTCGTCCCAATTCTCGGGTAGCTTCCAAAAAGAGCCAGCATCCCGCCGGTTGAAGGTCTCTACATTAGCGTCTACGGAGTTTGGAAGCACCCACAAAGGCAATACAGCTTCCCTAGCAGTATACATCGTGGACCAAGAAGCACGGAAATTAACTATTGTGAATCTGAGGGCGGATCGAGAACCAATTCCCAGGAGCCGGAAGAAAAAGTCCAAGACCGCCGAGCAGCGTCTGTTACTCGTGCGTGCGGTACGGATCCAAACAGTCTCAAATGTCTTGGATGCTTGTACAATCTCCGATGGGGATCTTTCGCGAGTACTCTCACTGAGTGAAACTGAAAGAGGACACCGCGAGCTGTCATTGCAAACCCTGTGGGGTAGTCCCGTCAGAATCGAGGTTCCCGTGCCACTACAGCTGTATGAGCCTGATGGCATCTCTGCCAACAAACTTGAGAGTCGCCCGAGAGAAAGTGGTGTCAACCGGGTTATGGCAGATCCCGACCTCGTCTTCAATAAGTTTGATCATGGGTGCTCTCAAGGGAAGATCGACCTGGTAGACACTGATAAAAAGCGTCACAGACTTCAAATACGAATGGAGCCTCGCAACGAACCGGTGAAGAAAATACTCAAGATCTGCAAGTTTGCCTTGCGTGAGTCCGAGAAAGCGGGCGATGGCATCATGGTCGCATGGTGGGAGGTCATGAAATGGCTTCGGGGCAAGGAGGAAAACAACATCGAGTGGACCGCCATGACAGTCGTCTTGTTGAGTCTAGCAACCCCATTCGTCGCCCCTCCACAAACACAGACCCCCAAACGAGCGCGTCGCAAGAAGGGCCTACTCAGATCGAGTAGTGGAGGACATCTGGATCTGGAAAGTTGGGAGTCCATGCTGGACCTGGAGTCTGGCTCCGCCGGTGTCGTAGCTCCATGGATGGTGGACAGTTCCTGGGGGTGGATTGTTGAACAAGACGCAATTGAAGGTCTCGCATCAGGAGATGCACCCAAAAGTGCCAATGCAAGTCGATCTACATATCGCCAGAATTCATACCTGATCCGGTGTATCGCCCTCAGCCGTGAATTCCTCCAATCTCCCCAAGGCCTCAAGGCTACTGGCCGCGACGGGTATCTCCCTATCTCTGAAGCTTTCTCTGAGAACACAAGATGCACGGCATTGTGCAGTGTTCTTGTAGCCTTGCACCTATTGCGTGAAGAACAGAAGCTCTCCACCTGCGACTCGGAGGAGTCTCAAAGACCTCTGGGGTTGCTTGCTCCTGTCCTCGCACAATTGGGCAGCTGGCTAGGATGGGAATCTTGGAAATGGACCGAGGATGCCTATTATGGCACCGAAATGGCCAGTATGGAGCGCTGGCAGTTTGAGGATAATACCCATATCGCTGGGCTAAAGATTCCTGCAGAACCCTTCCCGCCTCCATCCATCTTCGAATTTCTCATGGGTGCTGCTGCTCATCGGAGCCCTACACCGTTTATTTCTCTCCTTGATATTGTGAATGCATCCGAGCGAACTCCCAGGAAAGGGCGAATGTGGCGCGAATGTTTCAGCATCACGCCAAGGACGTGTGCGTTGAATGGCTTCTTCACCGAAATTCACAGTGTGTCGACACCCTTGGAAAAGATCAAGCTTTTGCAGCGTTGGGGATTCACGAAGAGTGTCATTGATAGCTTCCCAGAAGGTGTCAGCGCACCGCTCTACGAAGCCGTTATGCAATGCCAGATTGAAGCATCCACGTCCTGGAACGCGACCCTCCTAGAGCTGATTGATAGAGAAGACCTTTACATGTCGATGAACCCGGCCCAGACCAATTCATTGGCAGCGCCGCAACAACCTAACCATAATGCCGTGCGAGATTTCCATTATATCAGCAGCTCGGCATTGGATATCGATGCCATCTATGCCTTTGAGGCCTCTGCAGAGGCTGACCGATACTCGGTCACCCGGCTGATCTTCCGAGAGGATAAGCGATTTATGGAAGCAGCCAAACTGCTAAACCAGTCCAAAGCGCCAGTGGCAGAGTGCATAGCCGAACCTGGCTGGAGTGACTCGGACTTGTTAGAGGCGCAGAAAGAAATCGTACAGCTCGTGACAGTTCGGACGTTGTCTACTCCAGCGGGTCGTGCAATGCTCACTTTCAGTGGCCGATTGCCATTGTTGACAGAGAAACTGCCGATCCCTTCATTTTCCCTGCAGTGCGTCATGAAGCCGGACGGTGTGACAGTCAGCGCGGATAGATCTGCGTTCTCGGAAGAAAAAGTCTGCTGGGCCTTCTTCCACAACGGAGTATCAACCGGTCTGGCGATCTCTAAAGCCTCCAAGGGTATTGACACGTCGTGGATTTTGTTCAACAAGCCGCAGGATCTTACCAACCGGCATGCCGGATTTTTGTTGGCTCTGGGTCTGAATGGCCATCTTAAATCGTTGGCCAAGTGGGTTGCTTTCAAGTATCTCACTCCCAAGCATACCATGACATCAATTGGTCTCCTCCTCGGTCTCTCTGCGTCGTACCTGGGCACGATGGATACTCTAATCACACGTTTGCTTTCGGTACATGTTACAAGAATGCTTCCACTTGGTGCAGCTGAGCTGAACTTGTCGCCATTAACTCAAACTGCTGGAATTATGGGCATCGGTTTACTTTACTGTGGGTCCCAACATCGGCGTATGAGCGAAGTCATGCTCTCTGAAATAGAAAACAGTGAGCAGGACGAGCAAGCTGCTGCCACTGGCGAGGAACTCCGCGACGAAGGATATCGTCTGGCCGCAGGCTTTGCCCTTGGTTTCATTAATATTGGCAAAGGCGATGACCTGCGGGGCATGCGCGATATGCACATTGTTGAACGGCTATTGTCAATCGCAGTGGGTACCAAGACCGTCGAAATCGCCCATGTACTCGACCGTGCGACGGCTGGCGCGACCATTGCCCTCATGATCATCTTCATGAAGACGAACGACGCGGTACTAGCCAGGAAGATCGATATTCCCGATACCACTGTTCGCTTCGACTATGTGAGGCCAGATCTGTTCCTGTTGCGAACATTGGCACGACACTTGATCATGTGGGATAGTATCAAGCCCACTGCTGAGTGGATCAGCCAGAGTCTGCCCGAAGTCTACCGGGGACGATCACGACTCACGGATGTGCGCCGGCTGCGCAGCGAAGATATGCCGTTCTTCAACATTATTGCAGGCCTCTGCTTTGCTGTCGGTCTTCGCCATGCTGGATCTGGACAAGCACAGGCCCGAGATCTTTTGCTGTTTTATCTAGACCAGCTTATCCGCATCTCACGGCTACCTGTGCGCAGCTACGATGCTAGACTCGCCCGCAATTCGGTTCGGAACTGTCAAGATGTGGTGGCCCTATCTGCCGCGGCAGTCATGGCTGGCACGGGTGACCTAGCTCTGTTCCGACGCCTACGCTCACTCCATGGTCGAATCGACGTCGATACACCCTATGGCAGTCACATGGCGGCACACATGGCTATTGGAGTACTCTTCCTCGGAGGAGGCAGCCACACACTTGGCACATCCAACCGCGCTGTGACCGCGCTCATCTGCGCATTCTACCCGATCTTCCCAACAACTGTCCTTGATAACAAGTGCCATCTCCAAGCCTTCCGCCATCTCTGGGTTCTCGCTGCCGAACCACGATGCCTCGTCCCTCGTGATCTTGATACCCGCCGCCCAATCTCGATCCCAATTACCATAACGTCTCATGACGAGACTAGTCGCACCGTCGGCGCCCCCTGTTTACTGCCAGACCCAAGCAGCATTGCTCGTATCGAAATTCGCGGTCCAGACCATTGGCCGCTCGTTCTAGACTTCAGCCAGAACGATGCCCTACGCGAGAAATTCCTCTGTGGCGACCCATCTGTCTACCTTCGCCGCAAGGCAACCTACAGTCCAAGCTCCTCAACATCCGTCTTCGCCTCCACCCTGACCGGCCTCAGTGAAGCCCAAGACATCCTCCCAGCAACCTCCGGTCCACTCTCAAACCCAGCCAAGGGTCTCCCACCATCTGCATGGCCCACCCGCACGGCCCTACTCACCGGCAAGCCATCTGCAGCGATGACTCCATCCCAAAACCCTTGGGACTGGGTCTTCCACCTCCCTTCCCTACAAGACCTCGACATCCGCGAGCGCTCCCTCGTCCTCCCATCTTCCTTCCCGATGCACTCCACACGCATTACCACCGATCTTGTCTCTGTGCCGCCTTGGCTGCGTACCTCGGCCGTAGATGCGAGACTCGCTCTATCCCATACCGTGCGTAATATTGTGCAATCTGCACGCGGCCGCGGCGCTGACCCGGACCAAATTCGTGATCGGATCTGGCAGCTTCGCCTGCTGTTTGATTGGCTGGATCGTACTCAGCCTGGCGATGAACGCGACCATCTTTCCACCAGAGGGCTACTATCCCCAGCGCAGGGTCAGCCGTCTGGGCTGTGGTTGCGAAGAGACTTTGTTGAAGAAGCTAGATGGCAAATTTGGGGTGTGCAGGTTGGAGATGAAGGAGAAACTCAGATATAATTGTATGCATGATTTGTCCAATGCTATTATTTCATTTCATCTAAGATCTCCCCCACAGAGGGGCTGATAACACATAAGACCCGACCTCGGGAGGTCTTAGCTAGGTACCTCCCGAGGTCGGGACCCCAATGACCCAATTTCCCCGGGAAATTGGGTCATAAGCCCATCCCATATTTCCTTCTCTTAAGATGTCAATGGTCTCAATCCTATCGCAAAGTCCCAGTTGTAACTCTCCAGCTCTAACAGCAATTCCAAATATGACCAACCCACACCAAAAACAATCCCCTCCAAAGCGGGGTGAGTCTCCAACTTCTCAACACAGAAGAACCCAAAACTAACGACCTCAACAGTATGGGCCTCTCTAATAACCAACATGTCCTACCTTCCAGGCCTCCTAACCCTTCATCACTCCCTTAACCACCCTTCCCCAGACCAAAACACAACCCAAGGAACGAAATACCCATTCATAGCCTTCTACACCTCAACATTCCCAGTAGAAGGCCTCAAAATCCTCCAAAGCCGCAACATCCAATCCCAATGGGTCCCCTCAGTGACAACCGCCAGCACACGCAACTACGCAAAAGACCCGCGCTTCGCCGAAACATGGAACAAGCTAATCGTCTTCTCACTCGAGCAATACGAGCGCATCGTCCTCCTCGACGGTGACATCCTCATTCGTAAGAACATGGACTCACTAATGGAATTACCACTTGACGAAGCCGACGTCGATGGGAGTCGCCTGTTCGCAGCGACGCATGTTTGCGCTTGTAATCCCATGAAGAAACCCCATTATCCTGCTAACTGGTGTGTAACATGCTATCTCAATCTATCTACTTTCCTCACATTCCAAGATACTGCTGTACTAATGCTTCTCACCAGGGTTCCCTCGAACTGCGCATACACAACGCAACACTCCACACCCGACGAAGCGCAAACCGTTGCGCCACCGCTGGGCTCTGGGGTCGGGATGCTCAACAGCGGTGTGTTAGTCGTGCGACCTTCTGCGCGGGTGTATGACGAGATCACTGCTGGGTTGCGGGAGACGGAACGCATTGAGCGGTATGACTTCCCTGATCAGGAGTTATTGTCTGATGTTTTTGCGGGACGGTGGGTTCCGCTGCCTTATGTTTATAATGCGCTTAAGACGTTGCGCATTGAGGGTGTGCATGATTGCATTTGGAGGGATAGCGAGGTTCGGGCTGTGCATTATATCTTTGCTACGAAGCCTTGGCATGAGGAGGTGAAAGAGGGGGACCTATCTGGGTTGGATGCGACAGGGGTTTGGTGGTGGAGGGCTAATTGGGAGAGGATGAGGGTTGAGAGGGGAGTTGGTGTTTTGGATGAGTTCTCGGGGGCTGGATGAGGTTTTTGTATAGATCTTATAGGTTACAGTTATTACCCGAGATGCTGAATAGATACCTAGGTACATTGCCGTTTGGAATCCATATTGATAGTAAGTGGTATTGTTATTGACATTGATATCAATCTGAACAGCTCCTATACCAGATGCAATACATGCAGGTCGATCTAAGTATATCCATGCAAGGGTGCAATCTGCATCAACGTCATCAAGCATCACACATTCCTATCTGTTCAATTCCAATTAACCATCATAACCAACAGCCTGAAGCTCTTTCCGCACCGCATCCTCAGTCTGGATCTTCTTCATCTGCGTATCTTCCAGCTTCTCACCGCCAGCAAGACGCATCTTAAGCTCGTCGATAGCGCGGATCTTCTTCAACAGGCCGCGGATCTTCTTATCTTGAGCAGAGGGGTCCTCAACAGGCGCAGGAGCAGGGGCGGGGGTAGAAGCAGCAGGGGCGGGGGTAGACTTAGCCGCACCGTTTCCATTCGCGACGGGAGCGTTCTTGCCGCGGTTGCGGTTGCGGTCTGGGCTGGGCCCAGTCGGGGCGTTGGCAGGAGGAGCGTTATCAGTTCCATCTTCCTTGGCCTTCTTGGCGGCCTCGCGCTTCTTCTTGTTCTTCGCGGCGGACTTGGACAAGTTCTCGGAAGGCAGGGCGACGCCACCACCTGGCGCAGCTCCAGGAGGCAGATACTCCTCCAAGGGCTCGGCACCGGGGACCTCACGACGGCGGGGCTTGCCGAAGGTGTTCATGCTGGCGCCGGGGACGCCATCGCGGACAAAGGCGGCACCGCCTTCATCCTCACGCTTGAATGCGAGCGGGGTCAGCTGGCCGCGGGCGCCGGGGGGACGGTAGGCACCTGCTGGCTTGACAGGGGCCTTGCGTGTGCCCATGTAGGCGATGGCAGAGGGGTGGGGAGCAGGCACCTTGGAGAGCGGCTCGCCCAGCGGGTGCTGCTCGATACTCTGTGGGCGCCAAGTGACATCGTACAGCTCAGTCATATCCTCGTTGTAGGTGAGACCGCCGGTAACGTGCCAGATGCGCACGCCGTTGTCGACGCGCAGGCGGGGGCTAGTTGTCGCGGTCAGGATGTACTGTCCGTCGGGCGACCAGGCGCATACGCTCGCGTTGGATGCCTCGACGGTGGTGATCTTGTGGTAGTTCTTGTCCATGTCGTAGAGGTCCATCTGTCCTGCCAGGTTACCGAAACCGGCAACCAGCACGAAGCGGCCATGGGGCGAGAACTGGATAGTATTGCGCGGCGCAAGGGGGAAGTTGTGCTTGGGCACACCGCGGAAGTTGAAGATGGTCGTCTTGGCGGGCATGTAGCCGTACACAACACCGAATTCCTTCGAGTTGGGGTTCCAGCTAACATCGTGAATAGGACCCTCCTTATCTGTTGGTTGTTGGTTGTCAGTTAAGTTCAACGAGTAGTAAAGCGAGAAAAGCGAGAAAACATACCTAGATCAATGCGCGAGTCGAATGCACCGCTGGCGCTCAGCAAGTACAGGGTCGTCTCGCCGTAGTAACTCTTGCCAGTGCGGTCGACCTCAGTCTGCGCAAGCACGATCAAAGTAGTTCCAGAAGCGTTCCACTTCAACTGAACCTTATCGCCCTTGAAGAAACTCTTCTGGGATACGGGCGCAGCGAACTGCGGCACAATGAACACCTTAACCTGGGCAGGCTGGCCCTTACGCTCAGGAATAAACACGGCGATAGACTGAGTCTGACCAGGCGACAACGCAAAGTCTGCCACTCCTTCCACGCGCAACTTGTTCCAAACAGTGGACAAGTTGTCGCTCTGGTAGAACTGAACCTCGTTGGTCACGGTGCGGGCGCACAGCTTCTCATCGGAAGTGTACTGCAAGTTCCAACCGGTCTGCGACTTCTGGACGAAGCTTCCCACAACCGAGTGGTTGTCTCCGGCCTCAATGGCACGCCACACCTTCAAGTTCTTGACGGCGTCTCCGTTCTCGTCCTTGGATGTGCGCTGCCAGGTGATCACATAGGTGCCGAGTGGCGAGAATCCCAACTCGAACACGTTATCAGCGGGGATACTCCCAACGACAAGGCCCACAGAAGGGTCGATAATGGTGACCCTGTGTGAAAAGACGAAGGTTAGATTTTGGACGTGAAAGTGAGTGGGGAAATCAACTTACTTCTCGGGTGATGCCCATGCGAAGTACCGGCCACACGGCGAGTAGGCGCTGCAGCGGAGGTTGCCCTCTGGCCTGGAGGAGAACGAGTCAGCGAAATTCCTTGTTTTTATCGGGCTCAATTCTTACTTCTCGAACCCAGAAAGGGGCTGGTAGACGGGGGCGGCATCCATGATGCTAATGCCCTTGAGCGTGCGGACTGTGAGACTATCAGCAAACATTCATCCCCTCGCGTATATGAATGTTACCCGAAGGTCGAGAATAAAGACGGGAAAGGATAAACACGTACAAGCAAGTTGCGTAGGAGCAGCCATCTTGATTTCGAGTCGCGGGTCTAGAATGAATCCACCAAAAGAAGAGAAATCGAATGCGTTTCGGGGACACAAGGTAAAATGGATTCTTCTAGGAAGAGAATCGAATCACAAAGCGAACTTATAGGACCAAAATAGCCACACAGCGAACAACGGTCCCGGTGAAATAATGGGAGTCGAACAAAGCGAAGCGAAGTGGGCTTTTCGAGGGTATTTCTCGGATTGGGAATTGGGAGGTTTCTGGGCAAGTGAAAACAGCAAGTCGGCGGAATAGAAGACTGCTAGACAAGTCAATGCCAGCAAAAAGAGGTCGGGCGAAGAAAGGTAGTTGGGGAGGTTGAAGAGTGAAAGAAAGAAAATTCGGGTTTGGCGATGTGGCTAGGCGGCATGCCGTCATCTGCGGTATACACGCTATGCCCGGAATCCCAATTGTATAGATTGTACGCCTCAGTCTTGGAGCTTGAATAGAACTGTATAATAGCTTTATATTGTTTTATTCTTATATGTCCATACAGCTAAATATATATAATAGTTCCTAGGTGTCTGGATTTACGTGGAAAAGACAGGTGGCAACGGTGTTTGGAGGGGAAGGACACCCAACATTAGGTACTAACAACACCTAAATATTTGGACATACAAGTCTTGATACACGGTTTCTCGGCTTATAAGTACATGTGTAGTCATTATTACTTCGAAACAAATACAAAAAAAAAAGCAATCCATTCGAGGCATCAAGCCACTAAAAAGAAAACGCCTTCATAACCTCTTGAATCTACCAAAGCAAGAACCAGACTCTAATCCCGGCCTGGCGAGCCAAATCCACTGTTGTTGTGGCCGGGTGTGGTAACCAATCGTGGAGTTCTGGCAGTGGTATCAACAACATCCGAGTCAAAAGTCATACCATCAACCATGCGAGCATCCTCATTCACAGGCTCGGGGGTTATCGACCCAGCCGGCGACGACGACATCATGGAGCTCTCTCCGGCATGATGCTGTTGTTGCTGCAGATATGAAGCCAGCGAATTGGGGCGGTTGACATTTGGGCTGCCAATAGAAGTAGGCCGTCCAGAGGAAACGCGGTTCATTCCAGGCGGACGAGAAGTCGGCCCGCTATAAGTACTGTTGGCGCCTTCGCCAAAGCCGACCAGACTAGCATTACCTTCATCACTGATGTTACCGACACTGGAGGTGCCGTCGTCTTCATGATACTCGCTCATTTTGTCAGCGTCATATGTGTCGCTACTACTCGCCCAGGTCGTGCGTCCAGCGATGCTGCCCGTCGCACTGGCACTGCCGACTGTGCTGCGCTCCTTTAGTACTTGACTCTCAAAGTATCCTGGAGCATGTGGCGGAAGCACTTGGCCAGAGGATGTCTGGCCACCGGCACGGGCTGTGGCAACTCGCTCAAGGCCTGCTAGACGGGAGATTCGGTCTGCGCGCTCAGCCTCTAGGGCTGTGGAGGATGTGGAGGACTGGTGCGCATGGTGGCTGTGGGGGAATGGATGGCCCTGATGGCCGTCTTTGATGGCTGTTGTCGAGAGAGCCGATAGAGATGTAGTACCGGAGTTCGGGGTGCCTCTGCATTCCCCATTAATTAACCAAGTCAGTCAACTCTCCATGTTATGTATAGACACGGGGAAGACGGAGTTGTGGAGAGCTCTTACGGTCCCATATCCGATGGAGTGACGGGTTCCGATGGGGGAGGAGGCAAATTGATCAGCGTTGGATTAGACATGATATGTAGATAGGGAAGAGTTGAAAATTAAGCACAGTAATTCAGTGAGAAAAATATCAGAGATGGAGAAAGAAAGAAGGAGAGACGGGGGGAACTCGAGACAGTAAATAATTAATTTGCCCGCACGTCATACCTGATCTCTACAATGGGGCTTAGTGGCCATTATGACAATACTGACCGATTGACGCCTGATTTATTTGGTATTCAACTTATTATACGTCTATTCTTTGATGACAATTTAAATTATCCGATTTTATGTAGTTCAAGACATTAAACAGATATATTTTACCTATATCTTTGATGTTTTTGATGTCATAAACTTGAAGCTCTCCGCATATCGATATTAAACTATCTGGTTCATCTTTCCCCTTAAGATCCCGAGGCTCAGAATTACTAAAACTCCACTGGCAAACACAACGCCAGATTCATGCATTCGTTCATTCATGTATACAACTTATACTAAAATGTGGAGAAAACAGCCTCCTTCAATCACTAACTTTCCGGTTCTCATAATGCCCCCGGAGATCATCCACCTCTTTCTGAAGTCTGGTGAGATCGGCCAGGATATCAAGAGCATTGGATGGTTGTGTGGATGGGGGTGGGGCTTGCGTCTGATTCTCCTTGAAACCCATCACATCACTACGGGTAATGGGGTCTCGGGTGCGTCGAGGCGGAGGAGGCGGAGGAGGTCCAGTAGAGACACCCGATACACTTCCATAGGACGATGCCCGCCGCCCAGCCTTCAGGGATGATGGTCTGGAGTTAGTGTGGGGGGATAGGTTCAACGATATATCTCCCAGCGGGGCAGTCGCCTGGAAGTCTCCCGATGATGGCGGAGGCATGCTGATTCTCTTGTTTTCCAGCGCCCGACTGGAAGGACCCGGACTGGGAGGCAGAGAGCTATCATTGCTCTCCGAGTCGTAGGACATAGTTAATCGACTGCTAGTTTTGGACTGTGTAGACTTGGATCTTCGCATCTGGCTGTGCCGTCGACTGAGAGGGGGCGTTGGAGGACGCTTATGCTGAGACTGGCTGCGCTGGAGCGAGTCCGTTGACCCTGTCACTCCCGCAGGGACCGAGAAATAGTCGGCCGATGATAGAGACACCGAGCTGGGATGCAAGGCGCCGGGTGTCACATTCCCATAGCCATGAATTGACAGGCGATTAGTGGACCGGGACCGGGGGGTCTGGGAGGATTCTGCGGTGGCTGTAGAGCCAATTCTGCGGCCGTGATGACTCTTAGGCGGAGGCGGAGGCTTCTTGTCTTTCGCTCGGCCGGGGGGCTTGCATTGAGCTCTGGAGACAGCTGTGCTGTAGGACGTGCATGGGAGCTGTCTACACCTGTTGCAGACCGCATGTTGTGGTCGGGGGATATGGGGGATCCATCTGTTGATGGAGCTGGGTGTGGAGCTGACCCAAAATACTCTGGTCGATCATCTTCACGGGGAGCTGGGCTCTTGTTCCCACTGATTTCGTCCTCGGTCTCGCTCGTAGACACCGGATTGAATGGGTTTATCTCTTCGTCCGAGGAGCTCGAGTCATCTATCTCGCGTTCGAGTGATCCCGACGATTTCCCATAGCGATTCGGGGCTATCGGTGGGGTGGATAGAGGCTTCGAGGGCAAAACAGGAGCAAAAGTGTTTGTGTTGGTAGACAATGCATCGGGGTTGCCTGTCCAGAATCAGCACATGATTTCCCTCCGGGGAGGACTCAAGAGGGGCAAGAGGGAGAAAAACAATACTCACCCTGTCTAACGCGAAAAGGATTTGATCCAGACATGGCGAGAATGAAGATGTTAGTATCGAGAGAAAAGGAAGAATTGAGGGGTCCCCGAGTTTCTTATGTTCCTACTTCCTACGCGCCACTTTCCGTCGACCCCGGTTACCCCGAGAGGCTTTTTTTGAAATAACATTGACCATTGGAATTATGGATAGTTCAGTTGAAACGAATGCGTCCCAGCTCCCTATTGTACACGGGAAAAAGGGTACAGGTATGGTACAGAAGCACATAAAAAAATAAAAAAACGCTCTCCAGAGAATACAAAGTCCCCCCCCCAATATGCCTCACCCATTGCTGTGAAATGATTTAGAAAAAAAAAAGACCCTCCCATATTCAACCATCACCGCTCGTTATAGACATGCCATGTCTCTTCACCCTCGAAAAACTTATGTGCCAGGCGATTGCCACTCTCCGTGGGCTGGCTGAATGCAATTTGTGCCTTTGTTATTTCCATCCCGTAAATAAAGTTGATGACCACGCAGTCGAGAAGATCTAAAGCGATTCCCTTTCGCCGCGAAGATCCGGAGGTCCAAATGCGAGAGACTCCGACAATGGCCGGGGTGATTTCATCTCGTGTCGAGACAGAGCCATTGTGTGCGTCGCCATTTTCTTTCACCACCGGTCGCGATTCCCAGATGCGCTCAGTCAGACAGAGCCCGACACAGCGACTGTCCTTCATGTGCAGAAAAACCCGGTACCGATCTACTTTCTCGGTCGGACCATCTTGCAAATGTTTTGGCGGTTCCGTTTGGCTCCAGAGGGTCTCATCGTCGATTTCCGGTGATGAGAGCTCTTTATTGACAACCTCGAGAACCTTCTTTGCTTGGCTCTTGGCACTGGGGGATGCCTTGCGGTCCACAATAACCACGTACCCCTCATCGAATCGAGTCGCCTCGTAAACCCAGCGTGAGGCGTTCGCACGCATAAATGCCTTACCCAGGTCGATCCCAGTCGCATTCATTTCGTGGAACTTTTTATGCAGTGCCGCATCCTCCGTATTGGATGGGATATATTCCATGCCACAGGTAGCACAGGTCTTTCGTGTGTCATTTCCCAAGTCGATCTGCATCTGGCGCATGACAGGCTGTTTCTGACCCTTTTGTTTGGGTGGGTCCACGGATGCGCGTACGCTATTCGAGTTCACCTCTGTCAAGGGTGATCCGGGGGTTTCCTTGTGTTTCCGCTTGAGAAAGGCAAATGTTGGCTTGCGGGTGTTTGCTGGCGGTGGAGTTAACCGTGGAGGTGGCGATGATGGTGGTGTGGTGAGATCGTCAATATCATCGAGCGTGCCTTCCGACAACAGAGAGTTGCGACGCGATGGGCTCGACAGCACGGCGGCTGAAGACTCACGGATGGCATATTGGAGGTTGGCCTCAGCTTCATCGGACTCATCCACGCGTCTTTTCTTTGTGGCGCGCTCATCATCGTAGACGCGCCATGTTGGTCGTCCGTAAGTTTTCATAAGGCCTCTGAATTGAGGTGTTAGTCAACCCCGGAAACTGAACCCAGCAAACATACCTCTTAAATGAATTGGTAACTGTCCACGGCATGACCCTGACTTTTCCGAAATTTGCTCAGGGCAAGGTGGGATGCAGGAGTTGAGAAAGTCCAGCTGGTGACGGCACGCGTGGGACACTAGTCTGTTTTAGGTCATATTGTTTCGAATGACTAACCGTCGACTTACCTCTCTGACTCCCCAAGGGCTTTTTTATTATCCCTCGGTGTTTTCTTTTGGGTTTTCTTTTGGATCTGGGCAAGTTTCAAGTTCAAATAGGGAGGGAAAAAAATATGAAATGGAGATGATCAACAGTTTCTAGTGGAGAGCTGATTTTATGATAAAAAGGAGAGTCTCGCCACCGGGATTAATACCGGACCAAGGAGAAAAGAAAGAACCAGGAGAGAGATGTAAAGTTGAAGATGTAAAGTTGAAGATGTAAAGTTGTGAAGATATGAAGATGTGAAGATGTGCAGGAGTATAACAAATAACACACCCAGCCTCAAATTCCTGTGGTTGGTATGTCGGGCACTTCTTTTTTTTTCTCCTTCGCCCCCTTTCTCCTTTCTAAATAATATACATTGGGCAATTGGCAAGACAGGCTCCAATCTCCAAATTCAACCAATGAGAATATCTTGCACTGGGCTAAGTTTACCAAGTCGGGAGATTAAAGATGACGCTTTTCTAAGCCCCCTGGCCTCTCATTGCCAAGTGTGTGCAAGGCTTTCATGGCCAGTAAGGTCTTCCCCATATTGCATTGTGCAAGGAAGCACACGTTGGAATTGTGATAATCCTCATTGACCGCTCTAATGCTTCATTCAGCTCCTACAGGCTACAGGTTACAGGTTGCATTATTTTCATTTTCAGGGAATATACAGCGCATGGGGCCAACATGAACTATTCCATGCTGATTGGATCCAAGACACAAGATCTTCGATCTTGTTCAATGATTGGCTTGATGTGAGCCAGGTTACGAGGTCCCATCGACATATGGTAGGCCTCCCCCAGATCTCACAGAGTACAAATACGGACTCGGTGGCAACTGAGCGCTTGGCATGTCATCGTGAGGTGAACTTTCAGTGCTGGAGCCTACATGATACATGTGTATTAACCGGGCCATGGGGTTCAACTTCACGAAATTGACAGGCGTTACAACTTTGCAACTCTGAACTGTCTGATTACCAGAGATACTTCTTGTTCAAGGGTCAGATTTGCTACCCTGGTGACAAAGATTTCTGGTACGACCTATGCCATTCTGAACCATTCATGGTCTTCATATATGTGATGACCTTTCTCATTCACTGGACAGGAGTCTCTTGGTGTACGCTGGACCCCCAAGAGGCAATGCTGGGCACCTAGTCAGATTTATTTGTTCTGAGTCACCCACACAATCTAATGCAATGTTACACATCCTCATCATCTGGTCTAACCAAATCTCCAGTGCAGAGAGTTTGCCAAACTTGCTAGAGTCTAGGAGGTACAGAGTAGATAGCAAGTTGGGTACATTCTTAGGGATGTTGGACCTATCCAAAGAGAAGCCTTGAGAAGCCTTGCTGTGGCTTTTCCTGACAAATTGTGGCTTCAAACACGGCTGGGATCATGCATTGTACAGGCACTCCATACAGACTCCATAAACGGGACTGGGGTGTCGATATCTCTGCTGACGAGACCGTTGAGGCTAATACTAAAAGAGAATCTCCATGATTGACTGGAATATTCCATATATATATATGTGTGTAGTATAGAGTATATTTGGCTCTATTATTCTATTCTATTATTTTACCATTTTACCATTGTACTATTCTTTGGACATATAAAAAATCCGAATACATGCTAAAGAATAAAAAGAGACGCAGAAAGTGTTCTATATAGTTCTACCAGCTGACGGTCCGGTCTCCGGGCCACTTTTTTTTTTATCTCTCCGAGTCCCCGTTTTTTAACTCAAAACTCTTCAACTACCAACGTCCTGCAAATAACCATGTCTGACCAAGAACAAGCTGCTGGAAAGAGAAAGCGTGCGAGTAAGTTGATTTGCTTTCAATACATGTTTCCCTTGATTTACACCAATCTCGCTATTGGGGGGAGGAGGGAGTTTTCTTTTTCTTTTTTTTTTTTTCTCTCCGCAACAGTTACTCGAATAACAATCCTCAGCGTCAATATTGCCCCTTCCAGAATCTGCCCCTTCCAGAATCAATTTTGATCTGGACCGTGCGACATGTCGCTGGGCACCAATTCCCCGAACATCCCAGCCTTTTCCCCTTCCCTTTACCCCTCCCCGCGCCTAAATTGCAATTCTCATCGCTTGAACTTCAATATGTCTGACATTTCACCTCCAGGGACTCAATCTTGTCCTCCTCCGGAACTTCCCCAACTCGTTGCCGAACAGCATATGCCAATTCCATCCCATGACAAGGATACCCAACGATTGATCGTGGTTCTCTCCAATGCCAGTCTGGAAACCTACAAGGCCGTCTCCAGTGGACGGTCAGGAGCCAAGGATGAGAAGTTTTCTCTGCTGAACAGCGATGAGCATATCGGTATCATGCGCAAAATGAACCGTGATATCAGTGAAGCCCGCCCAGATATTACCCACCAGGTACGATTCAACATCGCCAGTGGCAATAGAAAGGTCCCAAAAGAATACCCACTAATCCCCCGTAGTGCCTACTCACTCTTCTCGATTCCCCCGTGAACAAGGCCGGTCGGCTCCAAATTTTCATCCACACCGCCAAGGGTGTTTTGATCGAAGTCAATCCCTCCGTTCGCATCCCAAGAACATTCAAGCGGTTCGCTGGTCTGATGGTCCAGCTGCTCCACCGACTCTCCATTCGTTCGACCAACTCGCAGGAAAAGCTCCTTAAGGTTATTAAGAACCCGATCACCGACCACTTGCCCCCCAACTGCCGTAAGGTGACCATGAGTTTCGAGGCACCCGTTGTCCGTACCAAGGACTACCTGGAGTCGCTGAACCCGAACGAGAGTGTCGCCATTTTCGTCGGTGCCATGGCCAAGGGCCACGATGACTTTGCCGACTCCTTCAAGGATGAAACCATCAGTATCAGCAACTACAGTCTTAGTGCCAGTGTGGCTTGCAGCAAATTCTGCCACGCTGCCGAAGAGGTCTGGGATATCCTCTGAGGAACTCGACTGAAAAAAAAAAAAAAAAAAGGGAAGAAATCGCGCCCAGAGAGCGCGCGTCCTTGTCGTCTGTATTGACGACACATTTGCCAGACTTTTTTTTTTAACGGGCGGAGATTGAGTTGCAGAACGAAGGTACTGGGCATATTGCATATGTCTGTCCTTCGAATATCTTGGCTGTTAACCTAAGCCCAACTCTCTCTACCTTTCTCTATCTCTCTGTTTTGTTTTGGGGAATCCACTGGGAATACTGGATACCGGGACAGCTACCAAGCATCGGGATTCATCCCAGGCTGTCTGTGGGTGTTTAGAGAGCACTCCTTTTTCCCCCTCAGCATAAGTTACGGGTCGGACGGCATTTGGTTCCTTTTTCGCCAGTCCTTTGATCCATCTTGCTTCCATCCAGCTTCAACCTCGACTGCTGCGATGCGTAGACTAGAAAAAGTGAACAGCACATAGATCAGGGCCCATTGATTTGGATCCTGAGGCACATATCTTCAACTTCTGTGTTCAATAAAAATATGGCTTTTTTATTTTTTTTACATTTCTCTCTACAACATGGTAAAATAACTCCTTGACGTAGCATTACAATTAGCCTCGCCTCACTTGAAATGCCAATCGGATCGAAGGTGGCGATCTAAGATGCACATCTGCCCATCGGCTTATATTTAGGTAATATTGTAAGATATTGTAGATATTGTATTATTATTCTGAACTCATATTCCTTACAAATTAACCTATAAAGTATCCCAAATTATCAACGTACGATGTACTCCGTACTCCGTAGGTATTGTTGTATGACTCAAGAAAAACCAGCGGTCAGCACATCTGCCCAAGTCCACTTCACAGCAAAGTCTTCTCTTCTCCCTCCACTTGAAAGTCTACCATTTGCTCGCACAAGGGGAACAGGTAAGCAAAAAACCCACTTAACGTCGATAGGCTCCTGCACCTCGCTCAGGGCATCCAGAAGAGACGCCCCATCCGCCAACAGGAATCTACATTGGCTCCCCGCGATGACCTGGCAGGGACCCATCTGCACCCCTCCAGCCATAGAGCGTTTCACTTTGCAGGGAATTGGGCCCCTAGATGTCCAAATGCAGCCAGGAACAGGAACAGCCATCCGGTCTGGCTACTTTGTACTGTGCTAATGGGAGTGTTGAATGGACTCACACTTTTTTTTTCCAGTTCAAAGCACCAGAGTACGGCTTTGGGCCTGCAACGCGCCTCGTCCTCGGACTGTTTCAATTGTCCCGTGCAGATCGGGTGTACTGAACATTGACTTGATCGTTTGGCCAATCGTCTCCAGACCCCACTTGCCTGACTCCATACAGAAATCACACGTCCTCTGTGCCCACCAACCTACTATCGGAGACATGCGGTGTTCTGGATGACCCCTTTTCGCCAGCTTGGGCAGGATTTTGGAAGCTGCTAGCTCAGTCCGTCTCTGTTTTCGGATTAGAGTCACACAGCATTACACTCTGACTGGCTCTTGGGGACTGTTCATGTGGCCTCGTTCTTTGGCGTCATAGTTCTGGTTATAGATCTGGATTCCCTCACCGTATATATCCTTCATATCACATTTAATCTCTCTCTTCCTTTCCATCCACCTTCGTTTTTTTCATACCCCCATCCTTTTTTTTTTACCCTTACGTGCTGGTAACCAGGCACGTCGACTTCAACCTTTGAAATGCCCGTTTCGCATATCACCCTGACCGTCTCTCACCTCCCAACCTCTACCTCTTTCTTCTTGTCATGTTTACAGCCATTGGGATACCAGTTCATCGGGCGACATGACGACTATATAGGTTTCGGTCAGAAGCAGGGGGAACCTGCTGATTTCTGGATGACCGAGACTAAGCCTGGGTAAGTGACATATAGATACAGGAACATTCTGTCTTTCAACAAAACTGACCAGAACCAAAGATCTCCTCCTGGTGCAGTCCATGTCGCCTTTCCAGCCCCGTCAAAAGACGCAGTGGGCTCGTTCTTCATAAGCGCCCTAAAAGCCGGCGCGAAGATCCACGGCGAACCCAAGATGCGAGACTCGCAATCGGGGTACTTCAGTGCAGCCGTCATCGACTTTGACGGCAACAGCATTGAAGCCGTGTACCGGCCAGGCAATGCCTCGGTTATATCAGAGGCCAGCGGGCCGACGATGGCTCTTCTGGAGGGTGGTTCCAGCCGCTCTGTGGTTTCAAAGGCAAGCAGCAGAGCTAGCACCGTCAAGGCAGAGAGCATCGCACCCCCACGGTCTGAGGCCATGTCCGACACCAGGTCGGTGGCAAGGTCCGAGGCAAGATCCGAAGCCCGATCCGAGGCGAAGTCTCGTGCCATTTCCAAAGCACCCACAACCTTTGAGCGGTCTGCACCAACTGTCGTTTCCCGCGGCCCACCGCCACCGTCATACACTATGCAAGCGCCCGCACCGCCAAAGACGGACGATGGCAGCAAGGCAGCCAAGACCATCGTGGGCACACTCATTGGCGCCGCCGCAGGCGCAGCAATCGCCTACGCAATGGTCAAAGGCGAATCCCAGTCAGCCGAAGAAGCCGAACAACCAACGCAGTTCGCAAACAGCTTCCCCCAAATCAAAGCCGCCGCCCAATCCTTCTTTGCGAACGACGAGCAACAACCCCAATTCCGTGCCATCGAAGCACCCGAACCACCCCGCAGCACCTACACCACTGCCTCAAACCCACGCTCAACCCTAACGCGCAGCGTAACATCCAAGAACCCACGCGCCAGCACAATCTACGACGGCACCGAATACATGCATGACAACCCTCGCCGCGCCTCAGAAGGCAGTATCTACAGCATCCCAGAAGACACCCAGTTACGGGCAATCGAGTACCCACCTGCCAGCAACGCCGCCCAGCAGCGCTACGCCTGCGCCCCCTCAACCTTCATCAGCAGTTACCACGACGAGCGATCCCGCGGCGGCCCAAGCGGCAGCGTGCACAGCTCATCGACGATCAAAGCGTCGCAGAGCACACACCGGCGTCACAGCCACGACGACCACGACGGGTACGGGTCGGTCGTCTCGCAGCGCTCACACAAGAGCCAGCAAAGCACCCACTCATACCGGGCTGAGTCAGTGCGTTCTTCCTCGCATGCTGGGGTCAACAAAGGCAAGGACAACGCTAGCGTTGCATCATCCTCCCGCTCTGCGCGCAATATTCCTCTCCCCGCTGGCTCGAATGCAACATACTATTCCAGCCCGAGTATCCACAGCAAGGATGCTAGGGATGGGTTCGAGTATTTGTCTGCGCGGGAAATCCCGCTTCCCGAGAGTGTGGCGGATCTGGATGTCGACTCGCATGTTTCACCGGATGACTCGATTAGCCAGGTTGGGTCTCGTGCGCATCGCCACCGCTCGCATCGGTCTGGGCATTCGCAGTCCAGGAGTTCTAAGGGTGAAGATCATGTGAGATCGGCGGATTCGGGCAGTCAGGCTTCTAGGGCGAGTCAGAGGACTGCTAAGGCTGGGGAGGGGTCGAGGGTTGCGAGTCGACGGGGAAGTCAGGTTGCTTGATTATGCATTTTTTTTGGGAAATACGTCTGTTTAATTCGTTATTCCCTATGACAGGGTTGAGTTTGGTCTCTCTTGCATTTTATTTCTTCTCTCTTGGTGCCAGACTTGAACTTGCTTTGAGTCTGGGTTTTGGTTCAGTCGGGGGATTTTTCGATACGACAGACTTGATTTGATGGGTTTCTACTATTAATCTTTTGATTTGCATTTACTCAGATAGATATACATACAGACATACATACATACATGGAGTTAAAAATGGGCAATTGGAATGCATTATTCAAGACAATCCATGTTTGAAGTCGTAGTTGATATACCGAGTAGTGCAACAACGCTACACAGCCTACAAACTACAGTCTACAAGGTATCAAAAGCTCACACACAAGACGGGCCTGCCTAGATTGTGCTATTTAAGATGGAAAATGATAGCCCCTAAACACAAGACCAACGATAAAGTGATCTCGAACTACTCTCCGAATCCCTCAGAAGCATTACCCACCGAGTCCGAAACATCGCCTAGTACAAGCAAAGAAGCGAAAGGACTGGAGAAAACTCGGCAAAGTCCATAATTCAATCCTAGACGCATGCAGCGTTTGAAAAAGAGAAGAAATGGATGCCATGAATGCATGAGAATTTGGTCATAAGGATCGTTGGATATGAAAAGTCCCAGAAACTCAGCCCAACAAGACAAGGTCAAACCCGGCACAAATGGAGTTTTTAGGCACGGAAGCAGGAAACAAACGCGCGCAAGAACAGGTGCATTTGAAATCAACACACAAGAGTTGGGTGAAAAAAACTGAAAACGTTTCTACGACCACAGGTACGCCAGGCTTTCGCGGATTCTGAATCTAGAGCTGGGGGCAAAGAAGGAGGAAAGATGCAGAGCGACGTTGAGATGACACCGAGGAAAAAAGGTCGAGTGAGATAGGGGCCGCAAGGTGGGGTTATTGAGGAAGGAAGAGAGAGAGGAAGAACAGAAGCGAGGAAGGAATCGGATTTGTCGTTTCACTCAAATAGCGTACTTCCGAGTCCACTCGCGAGCTGTGGCCTCGTACCGCGGTCGATCGGTCTTGTAGACGTGCGCGATTTCGGGCACCAAAGGATCATCCGGGTTGGGGTCTGTGAGCATCGAGCAAATGGAGAGCAACACTATGAATAGTTAGAGATTGTGCGTGGCAAAGAATGTAAGGAGCTGTCTTGCTGACCTTTAGAGATGGTGAGAGCAGGGCTCCATTGGTCTCTCAGGATGTCCAGACAGATGCTGCCGTTCGAGTTGATGTTGGGGTGGTAGATGCGAGTGGTGAAGTTAACCTTGGGAGGCTTGAAAGGGTAATCGGTAGGGAAGTGGATGGCAAGGAAGAAGACACCGCCAGAGTATGGGGAGTCACCCTATAGAAAATATTAGTATCACGAATCTAGCGATGAGTCTGTGGACCTCGCAGAGGGCCAGATGCCCCCTCAAAAGTCCTCCAGAGCAGAGACGAGAGCAACTTACAGGACCCATGATGGTCGCTTGCCAGTGGAACTGCAAAAGAAAAAAGAAAAGACAAGTCAGTCATGATCCCTCATTGATGTATCAATCTGCGCCCAGCATCGAGGCGGTTGTACCCCGCCACCCGGCGCCAACCAAGAAAAAGAGGATTCATACCAGATCATCGCCAACGGGACCAGCGGAGCAGGATGAGGGTGGATCGCTAGAGGAGAGTTAGAGTCATGAAGCGCAGATGATGGCATCAGGATAGACTTACCGGCCGAGGTCAGTGAGTTCCTTGTTAATACGCTTGAGAGCCATGACGAGAAGTGCGAGAAAGGTATGGAAAGTAGAAAGAAACTGGATGAGGGATCAGTTGTTGATTCAAGATAGAGAGGAAGGTCGACTTACGATTACGTCTTTGTGTGGAAAAGAAGAGGGAAGAAGATAATTGGGAGTCTCAAGAGGGGGAAAAGTGCCCCAGGTGGGCGGAATCGATTCTGTCGGTATTGTACGGCCCAATACGGGAATACCGGGCGCCACAGATGACACATCATGATCAGCTCTCAGGTTGCCTTTGATTTAAAGTAAGAATGAGGCAGACGCATACGGAATATTAGATCTTCCTGAATCAAATTTGATTTCAATGGCAGATCCCTCGATAGGGCTGATTCATCGGATTTGTGAGGCAAAGAGGCACAAGCATTTGATGCCTCAAATGTTCAGCTTGGTGATTGGAGAGCAATGTCTAATTATGGACATTTATCTAATTCTGTATACATATGCACCCTTCTAGTGCATTTCGAACATGTCAATTTTGATATTCAAACCTCAATATACCTCTGTATTGAAACGTATTACATATGATACTGATACACTGCCCCTCGATGATGTCACGTGCGGGTGAGGCGCCCGCAATTTCCCGCTTGTCCTAAAGAGGAAGGAACTATTACTTTTGATAGCGTGACCATATACTACCTTAGGGCTACGGATGTCCTTACTGGCTACTACTATGGGCTTAGCTATCTCTTTGAAACATTCATTTAGGATATATTCTATATACAAGTGTGTTCTTTTTATTTTTTTCAGACAAAGGCCTGCTTGCCCGTGATGGCACGGCCCAGGATCAAAGCTATTGGAAATATGCATTAGCTTCAGCCCAACACAATCAGGCAGGAATGGCTTACCGTGAATATCACTTTGACCCTCATAGGTTTGCACCACAAAGAGGTTGGCCACATGGCGGGCGATATGATACTCGTCACTAGCAGCATTGCCACCGAAGATTTCTTGCAAACTAATACCAATGTCAGCAGAGCAACCCAAAAATAGAAGACAGAGAGAAACTTACGTTCTAGAATTGGCCAGAGCACGATCACAGTTCTGGCGCTTGATCATCGAGATCATCTCAGGTGTAGCCTTGCCAGCATCCTTAAGACGAGCCACCTGAACCGCAGCCAGAGTTCCGTAAGCAGCATCCGTAGCAGCGTTAGCCAACTTCATCTGAATAAGCTGGTACTTGGCAAGTGGGTTGCCCTTGAACTGCTTCCGCTCCAGACTGTACTCGCGCGCACGGGCAAGACAGTCCTCTAGAGCACCCATGGCACCAAATGCAATTCCTAAACGGGCACTGTTCAAGCATGTAAAGGGACCCTTGAGGCCCTCGACGTCGGGCAGCATGTTCTCCGCTGGCACGGGGCAGTTATCCATATGGATCATACCAGTGATGGAAGCACGCAGTGCACTCTTATTCTTGATAGCGGGGGTCTCATATGACCCAGGCGTAGCGCGCTCACGCTCCACGATAAATCCACGGATCTTCCCCGTGGACTCGAGCTTAGCCCACACGAGGGCGATGTCGGCGATAGGAGAGTTCGTGATCCACGTCTTGCTGCCGGAGAGCAAGTACATGCCCTTCTGCGTGGGGTGCTCGCGCGCTACGGTCTCCATGGAGCCAGGGTCAGAGCCGTGGTTGGGCTCTGTCAAACCGAAGCAGCCGGCGACTGTGCCCTTAGCGAGGCCAGGAAGGAAGCGCTGCTTTTGCTCTTCTGTGCCGAACTCGTAGATGCCGGTCATGGCTAGCGAACTCTGAACTGACATGCCTGATCGGTATCCCGAGTCCACGCGCTCGACTTCCTTGGTGATGAGGCCCGATGCGACGGTGCTGACACCGGCGCATCCGTATCCTTCAATGGAAGCACCGAGGAGGCCCAGGTCGCCCATCTCTTCTAGGATTCGACGGTCATAGTTCTCGTTGCGGTAGGCCTCTGCAAGGGAGTCACTGACGTCAGTTCACTATTTCATAACAGAAGTAAGGCATATTCGACATACCCAAAACGCGGGGCGCAAGCTTATCCTGGCAGTATTGGCGTGCTGTATCCTGAATTGCCAGTTCCTCCTCTGTGAACAACTCCGCTGCGGCGAGGGGATCTTCCCAATTGAAGACGGCCGAAGAGGCGTACCGGCGGCCTGCCACGGAAGTAGGACCAGCCTGGATTGAGCGCGCAGCTGCGCGAAGAAGAGAGCGGTTCATCATGGCTAAAACAAATAAGAGAGACAATTGTACAGAGTGGGGAGAAAACAAAAGTTGACAACTGTTGCGGGGGAGCTCAGTCAAATATGCACTGGACTAAGACCTCGGCAGTTTCGCAGTTTTGGGGGTAAATTGAAATCACCGAGTGCAATATACCATAAATGGTGGAATTACAAGATCAAGAGTAGTTCGGCCCGGTTTGTATTTATCCAGAACAATATGATTCGACAGAATCCCCGAGCAATGGCTTCTTTGGTTCCGCATCTTCAACGACTCGGACTTTTTCGGTCTATCCGGGTGGGCTCCATGCCAAGCACCGAGGCCTATACGGAGTATTTTATAGGATAATATACTGAGCAGTGTGCCATTTACCAGGGAAATAGTCCAGTTTTGTAAATATAGCCCGACTTAATTAATACATATGCAGTTCACTCTAAAAGTATGTATCTAGTATCCATATTCCGCTACAACAACTGTGGTCGTCAATCATAGGCCGTTATTACTATGTACAAAGAGAACAATCGAGGAAAATCTATCCAAGGCCCGGGTATATCACGCTGGCATCTGGCTTTGAAGGAAGTCAAACACTCCTGTAGGGAAATAATCCTCATCAAATCCCCAAAGATCTGCCATCATAGGGTCAATCGAGCCCTCCGATAGACCGGACTCCTGCTTTCCTGGGGTCAGAGGAGGTTCAAACCCATTGCTGCGTTCAGCGGACAGCGGTGCCACCCCAAGCAATGGAGGCGGGTGGTTCAAAATAGTGTCGCGTTCACCCAGCATCTGAGCTCCAGGGATGACCACCGGCTTGAAAAGAGAATGAGGTTCCTGCGAAGTGGACATGGAATTTTGGGTACCAGCAGTGCGCTTCTCCCATTCCTCAAGCCCAGTCAGCATCTTGCGAAGACCCCGGGCGATGTGGTGGCTTAGGTGGCGCTCGCTCGCCCGCTGGCTACAGGACACCATGAGCTCGACGACCCGCCCAACGAGAACACGCAC